TAATAATAATAATAATAATAATATATATGTGAGATAACATTAAGTGGTCTTGCTATGCAAGAACACTTAATAATATATATGTGAGATAACATTAAGTGGTCTTGCTATGCAAGAACACTTAATATATATGTGAGATAACAATAAGTGGTCTTGCTATGCAAGAACACTTAATAATAATATATATGTGAGATAACATTAAGTGGTCTTGCTATGCAAGAAAACTTAATAAGAAAGAGACAGCTTAATAAGAATGGAGCTACACTGTAGAGGCAGCAGTATATTTTATATTAAATGCATTTAAAATGGAAAAAAAAATATCTAAAAAAAAAAGAAAAAATGCTAACCATTAATATTGTGACCATATGTGGACTACTTCAAATCATGGGCCTGGACCTACAGTTTAAGCAGCCTGTATATTAGTCAGATCCATTTGGTGTAAGACATGGCATTTTAATAAAATGGAGATGTACACACCCAAAAAACTGATACCTGGTTTGAGTATATAATAACATTTCTGACTATTCTAGCCTTGGTGAATGAATAATCAAAATTTTTAAGACAGGAGGCGAGTGTTTGCTTAACCTTCTTCACGGAAACCTCCAGCAGCAAAAAAAAAAGTTAACCCAACTAATGTGAAAAAAATAAATAAAAATCAATCAGCATGCAGAGTGGGCATATAAAACCCATGAGCGTCCGCAGGGAGGGCAAGGGGGGGCACTTGCCCCTCCCTGGATTTTTCAGCTTGTGCTATTTTTTGTGAGATTGAAAATGAACTGCAATACCGGCGCTGTGTATGGAGAGAGAAAGGGATAGGAAGCTATATCTTATCCCTGCTGACTGAAACCGCAGGGGAGCGGCACATGCAGGCAACAGAGACAGCCTACAGATCAGGTAAGTGAGGGATTGGGGGGGGGGAAGGAAGATACCCTGTAGATCAGGTAAGTGAGGGATGGGGGGAGATAGCCTATATATTAGGGAAGTGAGGCAAAGCAACCTATATATTAGGGAAGTGAGGCATGGGGGCAACCCAGATTAGGGAAGTGAGGCATGGGGGGCAACCTATAGATTAGGGAAGTGAGGCATGGGGCAACCTATAGATTAGAGAAGTGAGGCATGGGGCAACCTATAGATTAGGGCGGAGGCATGGGGCAACCATAGATTAGGAAGTGAGGCATGTGGGGCAACCTATAGATTAGGGAAGTGAGGCATGGGGCAACCTATAGATTAGGAAGTGAGGCATGTGGGGCAACCTATAGATTAGGGAAGTGAGGCATGGGGCAACCTATAGATTAGAAGTGAGGCATGGGGGCAACCTAGATTAGGAAGGAGGCATGGGGCAACCTATAGATTAGGAAGTGAGGCATGGGGGCAACCTATAGATTAGAGAAGTGAGGCATGGGGGCAACCTATAGATTAGGGAAGTGAGGCATGGGGGGCAACCTATAGATTAGGGAAGTGAGGCATGGGGGGGCAACCTATAGATTAGGGAAGTGAAGCATGGGGGGGAGGCCTATAGATTAGGGAAGTGCAGGAAGGGTCTGAAAAGAGCAGAAAGGGACAGAAGGAGCATAAAAGTAAAGTAGAAGAATGAGCAGAAAGGGTCTGCAAGGAGCAGAAAGAGATCAGAATGAGAAAGGAGCAGAAGGAGCCAAGGATAGAAGACAGTGTCAGAAGAAAAAGAAGACTGTCAAATGAAGGAGAAGAAAAGGAGATTGGAGCAGGAAGGACAAATGCAGTGAACCCTCCACTTTATTCTGGACACCACATCATAAGGCTTTGGTACCTGGGCCTGGCAAGGAAACTCTGGACCTTCTCATCTCCAAAGGTAAAAAAAAAAAATCAGTGTTAATGTGTGCCGCTGGGTAGGGGTGTTGCTGATTGGCTAGAGCGGTCAGCTGGCACTCTAAGCCAATCAGTAGCTCCCCATTCATAAAAAAGTAAAACATTTTTATGAACCGGGGACTAGCGATTGGCTTAGAGCGTCAACTGTCCACTCTAGCCAATCAGCGGCACCCATGCCTGACGTCAATCTGCATTTCCTGACACTGTTTCAGAAGCCGAATACCACTGAGTGACCTGGAGCTGGAGGAAGCTTTTGCGGTTAAACCATTTGAGAGCGGTTTAACCCCCTATAGGAAAGAGAGCACCCAGGGGCTTACAGGCACCATAGTATTTTCATTTAGATGAAATTGTTATGGTGACCAGAATGTTTTAATTTGCTTAAAGGAACACTATAGTGTCAGGAATACAAACGTGTATTCCTGACACCATAGTTGGGAAAACACTATTCACCCTGGCTTTATGTGATAATGACTATG